TTTTTTCCCCCCTCTTCTTCCCCCCTCCCCCCCCAAAAAAAAAAAAAAAAAAAAAGTCAGAAGATAATGGTGAAAGGTAAGATAGGTAATGGTAGAGGCTGTGAAAAATACCAGCTTTTCTGTTCTTTGCTGATGTTTACTCTGAAGGATTAACAAGACTGTAGCTAGAAAGTAGATGTGTTTTAAGAATTAGTTTAAGAATCTTTGCAATAAAGTATTTTCTGCAAGTGACAGCAGCCTCATTTCCTGGACCTGTTGGTGCACAAGTTGGAAGGCATAAGACAGTAAGTAATTCCAGACAACAATATATATGGGCTTTATGGAGTACAAGACAGTCATACCCAAGGTTGGCCATCTGCTCTGTCTCTCAGCTGCCTTTCAAAATGTTGTCAAATGCTCTCAGAGTTTACACATCATAAATCTGTCACTAAAATAAATAAGCACCCAGAGCTCCCTGACTGTATTTCAGAAGTGCTGGGCTCTGCTTTTCAGGGACATGGCAGTGTCAGAGCAGCATGGCCCTTCCTCAGATGGCTTGAGATGAGGCAGTGGTGGGACAAGTTCTCTGACTATGCTGCTTATGCTGTTGAGGCAAAGGGGCTGCACCCTTGTGCCCTTTCCAGCCTTCTCTCCTCCTCCTTGGGCGGACCTGCAGGCAGCTAGCAGGAGTGGGGAGGATGCTGTGTTTATTGCAGCTGAGGCCTGCTGTGAATGAAGAGTCCTTTCTCTGTATCTTGATGAGATTTCAGAAAGGGATGTTTAGACAGTGCTAATATATACATACCTGTTTCCAAAGCAGTATGACTTGACACTTGAGCTGCAGAACTTCATTGATTTTAATGAGTCATGTATCTAAAATTCTGCACACTGTTTTGGCAGGGTGCAGCAGAGGCTGGTGTCACCAAAGTGCACCACCTCTCTCCTGATTTTTCTTTTTGAATGCTTACTTTCCTTTGCCTTATTTTCAGCAAAAGTAGGGTAAAAACTTCCATAGGGAATTTAATTTGTGATATCAACTGACATTTGTAGAAGCCAGCCTTTTTTTCTTATGCATGTGTTACTCTGTAAATCATCCAAGAGTTTAAGATCATTAACTCCTCTCTCTTAATGGGATTCCCAGCTGTCAGCATATTATCCATCTCCTCTGTCATCCATCTGAGAAGAGTCGTTTTCAATGTCTATTTATAATTTTCTGAAAAGAGAAATTGTAGCTATGAATAAATTCTCAAAATACCTCATTTATGCAAAGAACTGAGTAGTTGTATTTCATTGCATAAACATCTGACATTCCTGTCCATTCATTTGGGCCTTTATGTATCCAGGGTCTGTCTATACGGGAATGAGAGCACCTCCTGTTGCTGTATTTGATTCTGAAGAGTCCTGTCTCTTGCATTACTTAAAGGAGTCTCAGTGGCCAAGCAGTTCCACCTCAAAATACAGATTTCACTCCAAAGTGAAAGCATCTGTGCAAAGGCTGAAACAAACCTGTACTACTTTTAACTCTAGTTTTCTCCTTTTTAATGTCTTCCCATTTTCCTGGCATCTGAGCACCTCACAGTCTTAATTATTTATTCTATAGTTATTTCTGCTAGTAGAAAAGAACAGCTAGGTGTGCACAAACCTGTCACATCCTAAAAGTGACTTCTGTCTCAAGAACTTTGTAGAACAGATCTCTGAATCAACACTAGGACAGAGAAAGTTCCTTGGTTTAGCTGCTCAGAGTGTCTAGATTAGCAAAATGGTTGGATTATCAGCCATAATAGTTACTTACAAGTTAATGCAAACTTCAGCAGAACTTGAACTTCAGCCCACATCCCTCCACCCTCTGACAGGCCCTGTAACTTGAGCCTAAAAGTACCAGTTAATTCGATCTAGAGGTTGTGTGGACTTAAGTCAGTTCAGGAGCAGAGCTCGTATTGCAGGTTGTGCAACCAGCTCAGGCAAGACAAGCCTGAGTAATGCTCAGGATCCTACTTGAAATCAGTGTGTCAGTGCTCATCAAGACAGCATGGCACAAGGATCTTTAATGCCAATACGGCAATATTTTATCTAGTGAAGAGGCACTTGCTTAGGTTACCATGCTGATATGAAGAATCAAACCACAGGTTAAGCCTAGTTAAAGTCCATGACAAGCATTTGGGGATTGCAAATTCTTATTTTGGATGAACAACAACTGTAAAAGGTTGTCTTTGCCTTTAGCTGTGGGAACTCTGTATTGAAGCAATTTAGCTGTGTTCATACCACAGTGCTGTGCAGGCTCTCTGGCTGTATTCAAACTCATTCTTGTGTCTCATGCAAAATGATGCAATTCAGTGGCTGTTTACCGTTTAGACACAGGGCTTGAAAACAACCAAATAACATTTTGAGGCAAAACATAACATAGTGAGAAAGTTAAATATTCCAGGCAATCTAAAAATGTGGGTCTTAAACACCATATTATGTATCAAGATGAAATTGCCAACCTTAGTTAAGGTTTCTTTAACGTATTTTTATCCAATTGTGGCTGACTATAAAATACTGTTGGTCTAAAAAATGATTAATTGTGACTTGAGAGTGGTTACCCCTTTTGCCAAACTGGTTAATATTGTCAGGTCCCAAGTTTTCCCACTGCTGTTTTTCAGTGGGTGGTGTTTAACTGGGCTTTTGTGCATTGAATGAAGTGAAACAGTCTATTAGAAACTCCTTCAAAGCAGACACATCTCTCCTGTCAAAACATGTGCCCCAACAGAGAACTCTATCTACAGTAAATGCCCACAACTTCTCTTCAATTTTGCAGTGGCTCTGGCATTTTTCTATAGGATTGCACACTAACGCTTGTACCTTTTCATGAGCCCCCCTTCTAAGTTTACATTTCACTTTTTTTTTTTTTTTTTTTTTTTAAAGGAATTGGCTAAGAGGACTCCCTCTAAGCATCCTGACCACCCAGCTGTCCAGAACGCATTGCAGGCAATGAAGACAGTGTGCACAAATATCAACGAGACCAAGAGACAGATGGAGAAACTGGAAGCCCTTGAACAGTTGCAGTCCCACATTGAAGGATGGGAGGTACGTAGGACTATCTAGCTCCCTGGGGGCAGCTGACTACACAGTTTAATGGGCTGAAGTTTAGTGACTCATATACTGTGTATTGAGATTTCTGTTTAAGTGCTGTGTCAATGCTCTTAAAGGTGTGGGTGGCATCACTCTGAAGAGTTTAGAATTTAGTGTTTAGTTTGGATGTGCAGGCTACTGCTAAATTGTAGCAGAATAAAGAGATTATAAAAGAAAGAAAGATGCTAGAGCTAGAATGGACTGAAACATCAAATGGGCAGCTCTCATTTGAAAGATAAATAGGTCTAGAAGATGACATCAGGACTGCTCTAAAAAACAGAAGTTTCTCTTTCCATGTCTACAAGCCTTTCATTTTCTCAGGAACTGTGAAAGTTAACTCAGTTTCATATGCAGATTTCCTGCATAAAAAAATAAAGGTTAGATTAGCAAGCATTGGATTAGAAAACAACTGGTATATTTATGTTTTCTTGAGCTAAGTTACTCACAGATATGTTTTTAATGAGTTGTTTGTCAGTAGGTGGGTCTGTGTAGGTAGAATCGTTTACTATGGAAGGGAGAAAAAGAAGAGAGGAAAAAAATTGAATGTGAAGCTTGGGAGAGGAGGAAAATCTGTAAAAATAACCACACAGTAGAAATACTTGTGTGCAAAGGGTTGGCAGCTTATCTTGTGATGGCTTTAGATGAGGTCCTTGAATCAGTGCAATTGGAAGTCTGGGAGCTACACCATGGGGAGTCAGTAGTGTTAAATGGTCTCGTGGAGAGAATGGCATTGGCCTTTAGTGAGACTGACATTTAAAAAGTCAAGGCTGATCATTGCCAGCTGAAGATTTCTTAGTTGAGGACATTTTGTTAGGGGTCATGTAAACTTCCTCATGCTTAGGCTCCTGGGTGCTCTCTGTGATTCTTCTGGGTTGTTTTTATCTTTTGTGTATGTTTTAAACCTTGCTCATTTTTTCCCTGAAGGATGTTCTTGGCATCCAGCTAAAGACATGAGCACAACCCTGATATCCAGCTGTGTATTTTTTGGATAGCAAACTCAGCAAACAAGGTCATACAATGTTCTATATAGCAAGACTTCCAGAAGCAATTAAAACCGTGCAGCTCAGGGGTTATCTAGGCAAGAGGCATGGTTTGAACTCTGGAGCCTGAAGCTTGACTATTAAAGGGTCCATGATGCCATTAATAAGGTGGTGTCCAAAGTTACTGCTTTTTTTTTGAGGGGGGAAAGGGATGGGCAGGAGGGTTAACTTATCTATAGCAATGTTCTGGGGCTGAAAAGCCTTTCAGGTTTGTTTGGATAGACTGTTTTGTATGAAAGTCATCTAGGTCAATCAGCTCAAAATTTTAACAAGGAAGAAGTATGTTTTTTCCTCCTAGGAAGCTGTGGAACATTTCTAAATTATTCTAGTGGTATATTAAAAAGAGGAAAACTAGATTTATGCATCACAGATACCCGCCAGTGCTCAACATGTTGGCATTTTTTTCTTGCTTAGATGTAAATAAGTTTGAAACTGATTGACAGTTTCCTGTCTTGGGTTTCAGCAGTGCTAGGAGTCTTGTAAATTATTACTCTAGAGCAAAGTGCTGTTTTTTTCAAATAACTGGTTTTAGTTCTTTCAGATGCATTTGACAATTTATTCCTAATGGGAAGGGCTCCTAACTTCTATCTATGGAAAGCTGTAATTGCTGAATTAAATAATTTTTTAGGTTAACAATGCAGTGATACAAGCCACAGAATTAGCTGTAGGAGGAAGTCTAGAAGGCAAGTTTTTGCCTGTTTTTAGCTTATCTGAGAACAGCCTCTGCTATGAAATAGGAAATTTCCCTTTTCCATTACAATGGGTATGGATTCTGATCCAGTGGTGCCCTTCATATATGGTTTTACACCATACATACTAATTCAACAAAGTCTACAGCTCCAACATGGTATTTCCAACATGAAGAACAATGTAACATCGTTCTGCTTCTGCAGTTTCTTTTCTCCTTGGTCTTGGGAGCCATCTGTAACTTCACTTTTTAGACCATTTTCCTCAGTTAAACATTTTTTCTTAAGCATCTCCACCCTCCAGTCTGCACCTTCCTCTCTAATACAGCTATCACCACCACACACAGCATATACTGGCATCACCCTGTCAGTATCATTCTGAGACAGATTATGAGGGGATATGTTAAAGTAGGCCAGGTCTGGAAAGCTGCTGAAGGCCTGCAGCTTAGTCAGAGGTCTGTTCATCAGAATGAACTCTGCTCAGATTCATTCTTTTGGAATGCACAAAATAATTGTAGATGTATGTTATGGATTAGTTTCAAGCAAGTCAATTTGATTCTGGTTAATCCTTCTGGGAAACATAGATTAGTTTAAAAAAAGAGGAAAGAAAAGTAGAGGGTGCATGAGAAGGTCAACTTTTGTATACAGTTAATGAAGAACAAGTTAATATGCTATTTCTATTAATTCAATATTGATTTTTCTGTGGGGAGAGCTCCTCCTCATGGGTCCTTGTGAATTATTTTTATTTAACAATTACTGCATATGTCCAAATTCTTCCAGTCTGAAATGCATATGAAAGCAAAACCTCCATGACAGAACAGCATGTAAGACATGTTAGTGCTTAGGCAAAGCAGTCATTTTATACTTGGCTGCAAATTGCAGTTCTTCTAGCTGTGATGCTTTCTTTTTCTTCCCCTCCCCTCCTGCAATTTACTCCCACTTAGAAAGGTGAGAAAACCTGTGTTGTCTCTGAAAACATCAAATAAATCTTCTTACTCTGTTTCTTATTGTTGAAAAACCTCTCAGATTGGTATAAATGGGAAGTAGCTATATTAACAGCAAACAGGAAATGCATGTTTAGATACCATCATGATGGGTCTGATGGAAAAACAGAGATTCTTAGATTTTAGGGTGAGAAGCAACCATTGCAATCATTTGCTTTCACTTCCTGCACAAAATAGGCCAGATAATTTTACCCAGTGATTCCTGTGTCGCTAAAAGAGTGACTCCAATTAGTGATGTCACTGTGCTCAGTGCTTTTGCTGTCTTTGGGTATCTTTCAGAAAATTAGGTACTTGATGTTGAAGTGCTCTGAAGCCTTTCTTTCTCCATGGGCAAACCACATGAGGAGCATGCCTTTATGTTGTACAGTCAGTTGGTTTCTGTTCCTATTTGTGTATGTGCTAGTGGGCCTTGGGGTCATAATTCAGAGATACAGTGATTTCTCCTGGAGATAGTAACAGGTTATTTTCAAAATAATAATTGCTCATTTCTGGCCGTGCATTAACACTTTCTGTAAAATTATTAAGAAAATAAAAATGTATCAGGACAGCAGATGGAACTATTGCATCTAGCTAGTTTCTGCATCTTTCTTTCCTGAATGTATAGAAACCCACATGTGAAACACAAATTGATGCTGCATACTTGTCAACTTTTAAAGAATAGCTGCTTCCTTGTTAACTTAAAACAAGACATGGACAGCACAGCTGGCAAGGTTTGATTTAGAAAACAGTGTAATCAGAGCTTCATTGACACATTTAGAGTAACTGCATTGCATTTAGAAAGGTTGACTCAATTCAATGATTTCCTCTAAATAGCTTGATGGCAGCAGACTGTACCTTCCTCAAAAAAAACCCCAACAACCCCAAAAACCAAAAATGAGAACAAAAGGCCAGTCACTCATGCAGTGTCTGAAGTCTTTCAAACAAAACCTTCTGGGGTGACTTTCTAGATGGAGCTGCTTTTCATGCCTGTGCACAGCAATGTCTTCAGTTTCTTTAAGTGGATGAATTGTGTATTACACATTTTTTTTTGTATTATTTGTGATTATAAAGTTAATGGACCTTTGGAAATCAAGCAGTTTTGTTAATAATGGAAGGCTTGCAATCCAGAGTCAGTTCTTTTTTCCAGTAAGACTCGAGGCAGTGGGTTGTATAATCTAACTTCCTGGATGCTGACTGTGGAAGACAGTTAACATTTACTCTTAAGTTGTTCTTTCTTCCAATTAAAAAAAAAAACAACATGTAAAATCTGTAAAATGTAAAAAAGCAGTGTGCCCAGGTGGCCAAGAAGGCCAATGGCATCCTGGCCTGTATTAGAACTAGTGTGACAAGCAGGACCAGGGAGGTGATTTCTAATACAGGCCAGGATGCCATTGGCCTTCTTGGCCACCCCCAAACCCAGCATTGTTGAGGCCACACCTCAAATACTGTGGGGGCACTTGGAGTTTGTCTGTTCCAAGAGCAACCCAGGACAGTCCTATCATTGTTTTTCATTTGGGCCCACTTGCTCTGGTCCTGTTTAAAGGATGGTATGATCACTTTTTTCTTAGGAATGACCTGAGGAACAGTTTGGGGAGTGGTTTTGGAGTGATCTACTGTGGTTTTCAGCTTCTGAGCATCCTCATGGACTAAAGTTTGTTGAGGACCAAGCTCGAGGGCTGTCTGGTGCCATGGTGTGCACATGGCAACCAGCATGTGTTCAGGACTGAGCCTCTTGTTTCATAGTGTGTTTCTAACTTGCATGTGTTTATTAGTATTCCAGAAGGGAGAGCACCTGCTAACAAGAGCTGAAGATACATATCATGAGATGATTTTGCAGAGAGGTGGTTTATATGACATTATCAGAGTTACAGTGTTAGGGAAATACCATTATTCTTTCATAAAACGTCCCTAAATCCATCACTTTTGATACTTGCAATGATAGCTCACGGTATGAAGGGAAGACTAATGGTCTTGAGATACTCACAATACAACTGCTGTGAGACTGAAAGATTTCTTCAGGAAACAATCTCCTGGTGCTAAATAGGAAAGATTTATTGTAGTGCATGAGGACTCAAAAAAAAAAAATGGTAATCCAGAGAAAACTTTGTGTTTAGTCATATTAAGAAATTGAGGACTTCTCCTTGTAAGTGCATCAGCTATTTTACAGTTTAATGACATGCAGATGAAATAACTGTAGCACTATAGTAAAAACCCTTTATTATGCACACACAAACTGTTAAAAATAAATAATATCTCTTTTCTATATTTCAGGGGTCAAATTTGACAGATATCTGCACACAGCTCCTGCTCCAAGGGACTTTGTTAAAAATCTCAGCAGGAAATATCCAGGAAAGAATGTTCTTTCTATTTGATAATCTACTGGTGTATTGCAAGAGGAAATCCAGGTGAGACTCTCTGCCTTTACTGTTTTATAATGGGACCGTTTGGAAGTCTTGTGAGTAGAAAGTATGAAGAGTTACTAATCACTCACTGTGCTCCCTGTTGTTCTGCAGGGCAGAGTCACAGGTGTGACTTTATTCTTTACTTTTGCTAGTATTTAAGACTATATGAGGCTGTTTAGGATTTGCAACCCATGTGTTCTGTGCATTGTCTTCCTTTCACGGTAACAGTTTTTGCATCATTCCACCTTGTAAAACTGCTCATTGTTAAAATAGCACGGGCAGTGTGTAGAGCTATTTGCTTCTACAGCACTTATACTGTATTCCAGTTCTTAAGATTTTCACCTTCACAGTTCCAGTCTCATTCTCATGTCTTGGTCTCTTCTGAATTTGCAATGCATTCTCCACACTCCAGATTCTCCTGCTGCTCTCATTTCCTGGAAAATCTTCCCCCTTCAAGTTACACTTCTTTTCTGCTGATGGCCAGGTAGAACTTCTCAAAAAACAGTGTTCTCTCCAAAGAAAATTCTCATATCTCAAAACCTGGCTTTATTTCCCAGCTTTTTGTTCAATTTAAATTTTGGAACCATTAAGCTGGGAAAAATGTCAGTAATGTTTATTTCTTTTATGTGGATAATGCTGAAACTATACAACATAAATACAAATCACTAGGTGAGATTGATATTAGAAATTATTAGAATATAATCTAAAAATTTAAAATAAATAGAGAAAAAATGTATAGACTTACATCTCAGGACTTTTTTATTATCTAACTGCAGCATTCTGACTCTGCCAAAATGAAGCAAGAAAGATTAAACTTTTATTTTGACACTTCACCAAATTTGTCAAAATCCAAACTTCCGTGTAAAAGAGTTAAAAAATGTGTGACTTTGAACAGAAAACTATTCCTTACCAAAAACCCCAAACTATGAGATATGTAATGTTTTATTTCTTCAGAGCTCTTAGAAACTGGTTTTCTAGTCCTGTTAGCAGTTCAGGTTAGCCTAGCCCCTCCGTGCTGTCCAGGCATTTTTCCCAGAGTACTAAGATTTAGAAAACAAAATGTTCCACTGCCTTTTATGCAACTCTCTGTTTTTGTACAGGAGATATGACTGAACTACCCTGTGTAGTCTGGCTTGATTTTGGAGAAGACTGCTGTAACACTTTGGTTTTCTCAAGGGATCAATATTGTTTATCTTTGTCTAATAATGTAGCATGAACTAATGAAATGTCCAGAATCTGATTTCCATTCAAAAGAAGAATATTTTATGAAGTCTGCTGGCAATTTCCTAATTTAATAGATGTATTTTGGGATTGCTTAGCAACTTTAATTTTGGATATTTCTTTTGTCTAGCTGCTATTTATAATTAATTCAGGATGGAAGTGAATGCCTATCCAGTTTTGCTGGTGTGATCATTTGGCCAGCTGCTTGACAAACAAATGGCATGTTAGTGAGACACAGATTTTGGGAGGAAAGAAACCAACAAAGCAACAACAAAAAACCCTGCACAAAAACAAACCACCAAAAACTGCCTCTGATCCTGATTTGAAACTGAATGACTTGGTTCTCGTCTCACTTATACTGTGCTTACCTTGTACTTTTTCTTGATTGAAAAGTGCAATCAAAATTCAGACCTTATCTTTGATAAGTAAGCAACAATGCAGCCAGTTCGATTTAGGCATCTTTTCACAATAGCAAAAATGAGGAGTAGCATTGTTGAGACCAGTTTAAGATGTGTTTAGAATCAGAATTAGATCTGTGATTTTAGATCCAAGACTTCAATCTCATCTTGTGCAGAAGCTTAAGGAAGTCTGACAAACTGATGACAAAGATTTTCAGGGCTGAGTAATGTTTTGTGATTTTAGCAGGATCATAGACTGCTGTTTAAATTGAATCCTGATGTCAGGAACAATATGTTTCATGTGGGGAAATGGGCTGAGTATTTAAAGAGTTTCACTAAGGCTGCCAGGACAGCTTTTCTTCTGACTCGCCATGGCCATCCTTAGGAAATTACTTAATAGCTGCAAGATCTTAATCTGTGTTACTCAGATTGGATATAAATCGATGGTCCTCACTGAAGGTGTATTTGTCACTAAAGGT